GAAGATCGTTTTTTTTTAAAATGAGTGTTATTTGCTTTTTGATTTTTTCCATTTGCTGACCGTTTTTGTTCTTGAATACAGCAAGACCGTCGTCACGATATAAGCCGAAATCTTCTTTATTATAATGTTGTGAAATTTGATACAGTATGAAAATACCTATTAATTCGCAATCTTCAGCACCATCAAATGCCCCCATTGTTACATCGAACAACCCACATTAATAGGTATTTTCATACTGTATCAAATTTCACAACATTATAATAAAGAAGATTTCGGCTTATATCGTGACGACGGTCTTGCTGTATTCAAGAACAAAAACGGTCAGCAAATGGAAAAAATCAAAAAGCAAATAACACTCATTTTAAAAAAAAACGATCTTCAAATCACCATTCAATCTAATTTAAAAATTGTTAACTACCTCGATGTTACGTTAAATCTAAGTAACGATACGTTTCAACCATATTTTAAACCTGGTAATCAAATAAGGTACATCCACTCTAATTCTAACCACCCTCCAAGCATAATAAAAGCAATCCCTCGCAATATCGAACAAAGATTATCTTTCATGTCAATTAATGAAAATTTCTTCAAAAAGGCTATTCCACCGTATGAAGAGGCTTTAAAAAAATCGGGATATAAATCGAACCTTACCTACCAACCACAAATAATCTCAAGTCAAAATCAACAAAAAAAGCAACGTAAACGTAATATTATTTGGTATAACCCTCCGTTCAGCTTAAACGTCAAAACAAAAATAGGAAACCGTTTTCTAGCCCTTATTGACTTACATTTTCCAGCCGGTCACAAGCTACATAAAATATTCAACCGAAATTCTGTTAAGATTAGCTACAGTTGCATGCCTAACCTAAAATCTATCATAAATTTGCATAATTCCAAAATTTTACACAGCAAAAATCAATTAAAAACCAACCAATGTAACTGCGTAGATAAAGCATTTTGCCCTTTGAACAATCAATGTTTATCTAACAATATTGTCTATCAAGCAACCGTAGGTTCCAGTCATCATGATCGTAATAAAAAAGTATATTTTGGCATTAGTAATACACCATTTAAACTAAGATACGCAAACCATCTCAAATCATTTGCATCAATTAAATATAGAAATGACACAGAACTATCTAAGGAAATATGGAGTTTAAAAGACCAAAACATAAAGCCCATTATAGAATGGAAAATTGTCAAACGTTGTAAACCTTACAATCTAGCAACAAAAATATGCCACCTTTGTCTCTACGAAAAATATTTAATTTTATTGCATAATGGAAAAAATCTACTGAATAAAAAAAACGAAATCGTATCTCAGTGTCGGCATTCAAAAAAAATTCCTATTATCTTTATTTGACACAGGGGACTAATAAACTATAACGGCTTTTTTTGTTTTGTTTTTTGATTTGTTTTTTACGTAGATTTGTTTATAACGTCAGATGTCATTCTACAGTAATTTTTACGTTTTTGTAACAGTTTGTTTACGTTTTTTGTTTGTATTAACGGCTGATGATTGCCTTCGGGCATGAAACTTTAAGTCCCGCTAATCAGTTGTTTTTATTCATCTAAATATATATATATATATATATATATATATATATATATATATATATATATATATATATATATATATATATATATATATATACATATACATATATATATATAATAATGTTGATATAAAATAATAATAATATAAATTAATATATAAAATTAATTAGTAAATTAATTATAAGTATTTTATAATAATAACTAAATGATTGATAAGGATGGTGTAACTCAAACAGAATTCTGATCAAAGGAGTGACACCAGTTTCTAAATATAATATGACTAATAATAATTATACACACATAGAACATACATAAACAAGCTAAGTTTTAAAAAATAATACTTTAATGATAAAAATAAAAATAAACAAAAAAGAATTTAATAATAATAGTTGAAGTAATCATAATTTAAAAAATTAAGAGTAAATTTTGAAAATTAAATGAAAATCAAATCAATAACTTAGAAAAAATTTTTTTTCAGAATTTTTTAAAATTGGTTTTAGAAAAGATAAAGGTGTTTGAAGTTGTAGACTATTGTACCATTCACAAATGCACTGATAGACAACAGAATGTTTACCATACTTATGAATTTTAAACGATGGTACATTAAATTTCCCATTATATATGTTAGTATGTACATATTATTCTATTTTCTGTAAAAAAGTCTGTTATAGAAGAGGGTAAATTTTTATTAAGAGAGTTAAAAACAAAAAGAAGATTAGCAATTTTTACAAGCGCTGGAAAGGTTGAATATTTCAGTTTTTTTAAAGATTCTGATGTTTCTGACTTTAAAAGTTGGAAGTTTATGATTGACGTTGAGAGGATATCAGTTTTTTGATGTGATAGTTGCCATTTTGACCCCAAATTTAGCGACAGTGACTAAGATGCGATAAAAATAATGTACAGTAAATATTCTTTAGTGTAAATTTATCGACATAATGAAGAATTATTGAAAGTGTCCCGTTAGCTCAAGTTAGTTTTTTGTGTAACTCATCAATTTGAAAATTCCACGATAGATTGCAGTTAATCAAAAAACCGAGATTTGATAACTTTTGTATAACCGTTTATTATTAATTTTGATTTGGATTTCGGAACTTTTGTTTAAATTGTGTTTTTTTCTAAAAGATGAAAAAAGATCAGTTCGGTTTTTTTTCGTTAAGACATATTAAGTTAGCATTTAATCAGTGA